CTCGTAAACTGCATCTTATGGGCTATGTGGCGGCTTGGACACAATTTATCAATTTGCGTGACCAACGTAGGGCTTTGAAGCTCGGCGGCTTTCAAGTAGGTGAGTTAAGTTAGGTTTGCCATCTCAGCGAGAAAGTCGCCATCGTTGTGATGAACTGGAAAAGTTTGGACTATATTCTCAGATTAAAAAACTCAGAGATAATTAAATACATTTCTAATTGCTTGTAAGTTTTTATACAATGTACACCTGAATGGAGTAAAAATTATATTTGTTTTCCTGCATAAGAAAGGTCATCGCATTGGAAATATTTCTTGAAGCTTTAAATATGAACGGCTTCCAAATTAATAAGATTTGAAGAAAGTAAACTACATACGAACTGGTACCGATAGAAGTAAACGTTTATGAAAATTCACATATAGTAAACAATATACTTCGAAACAGAATAGCTTACCAGGTATATACGCAGATATGATAAGATTTTCTTTATAGTTGTAGAGACATTAGGATTTTTTTGGTAAGCAAGAGAAGCGAAAAATGAGCAACACCTTCGCGGGCAATCGAACCGCGGACCTCTGGAATACGCGCCCAGCGTGCAGACCACACCACCACAAAGCCACGCTAAGAAGGCCGGATAAATACCTTATACAGTTATAGAAAATATTTAAAAATTAAAAAAAAAACTTAAAGATTTCAGATTCTATATTACGGCCAAATAGGCCTTTCTTTTATTTATACCCACATCCACGCTTCGACAGCATTTCGGATAATGTGCCTTTGGGTTAAAAATATTTAAAAGCAGCCTATCTGTAGAATTTCCGATAGACAATCTCGTGCACTGGAGATAAAAGTCTCGAAAAGGGTCTCATTAATAAGCACAGGTCACAAATACCCATCTTCCGGAGTAATTTTATAAATTACCGCTACCAATTTTAATATTCTACAGAACCTTTTGGCTGGGCTTAGTCACAACAGAATGTTCTACCAATTGAGCCCAAATGCGGATAGAAAAATTCGAGAATATTAAAGTTAGATGATAGAAAATGAAACAATTAACGCAATGTATTGATCTAAAAATTAAAGAAAATTACTAAAAATTAATTCTGCGAAAGCTAACGTTAAAGATGATTAACTGCAGAAAGGAAATTTTTACGATCGTGTAACGTCTCCAGAAAATCTAAAGTAATTTTGGTTACAGAGAAATAGGGTATTTAAGATAGGAATAGGATGACATTTTTGATCAAAAAGAGAGAGAAGAGAGAAAGACATTTTTGATCAAAAAGAGAGAGAAGAGAGAAAGACATTTTTGATCAAAAAGAGAGAGAAAGAGATTCATAAAGAGAATTTATGAGTCTCTTTCTTCGTGCATAAGGTTTAAGCTACTTGGAGCGAAATTTAAAACTTTTAAGTCCTTTTTCAATCAATGTATATTAATCCACACTATATAAAATCCAACTTTAATGTTAACTAAACTAACTAACATAACATTAAGTGACCAATGTATATTAATCTAACTAAGTGACTGTCACGTTAACTGATGAATATCTTGGTTGAACAACTAAATTAAAAGGATAATATCATCGTCACCTGGAGGAAGTCAACAGAACCGATTTCCGACCAATGGGTAAAACCCAACTTCAGCATCTTATCTGTCAATAACTTCAGAGTCTTCAAATTTCACTGCGTAGTTGGTAAAAGTTTATGACAGAAAGTTGCTTACTGTATACTAAGCAAATATTAAATTCAGAATTTCGTTGAATTTTAATTCAAATTCGAAATTTCTGTCACTTGATAGTGTTATTTTTCTGCGGTGATCTGGCTGCAGCAGAAAAAGGCATTTTGAAATCCAGTTGGATATGACTCGTATAGCTTTAAGAAAACCAAACAATAATATATAGATAACTATTTATATATTTAGCATGTATATAAACATGCATTTCTCATTTATCAACTGGGTTCTTTTAAGAAATGTTTGTAATTGTGCATAACGTAGTGACTTTTTCCAAGTAGCTTATTTGGAAAGATAAGATGCTAACAGTTTTCAATAAAAAAATAATAATTTTTAATGCAAATTTAAAATCGAGGTAGAAAAACCCAGCAATAAACGGCAGCGGAATTGTTAGGTATCTACAGTGGATGGACAAAAATATGGAAACACCTCGTGAAATGCATGTATGAAAAGAAAGATTGATTTTAATGAAATATGTAGGTGGCGGTGGCGTTTTTGACTACTGACGCCACCTATACAACTTCGTAAATGTTCTAAACAGTTCAGTTGTTGTCAGAGTACTGTTATGTGAGGTTGTCATTGCATTATGCCAGAGTTAACAGACTTCGAACGGGGGCAAATTGTTAGAGCACGTATGGTAGGTGCTTCCGTAAGCAAGGTAGCCGAGGTGTTTAGTGTTTCAAGAGGTACTGTATCGAAGATTTATTCCGCATATTTGAAAAGCGGAAAAACATCATCTGCTAAATCACAGCGCGGACGAAAGTGTCTCCTGAGTGATGGTGACAGACGATCTTTAAGGGCAATTGTGACGAAAAATAAGAAGACCAGAGCTGCAAAAGTTACTGCTGAAATGAATGTTGTGTTACCGAACCCTGTGAGTACCAAAACAATTAGGAGGGAGCTTCATAAACAGGGAATTGCTGGCCGTGCTGCAATTGAAAAGCCACTCATCAGTGATGCTAATGCCCGTAACAGGAAAAGGTGGTGTTTAAGTCATAAAGCCTGGACTATAGAGCAGTGGTAGCGAGTAATATGGTCTGACGAGTCTTCTTTCACATTGTTTCCCACTTCTGGCCGAGTTTACGTCTGGAGAACGCCATCTCAAGCCTATGATACAGACTGCTTGTTGCCAAGAGTGAAACATGGCGGGGGTTCTGTTATGGTTTGGGCAGCCATATCGTGGTTCTCTGCTAGCCCCATGATAACTGTGTCAGGGCACATGACTGCCAAGACTTATGTGAACATTTTGGCCGATCAAGTCCATCCCATGGTACAAACTTTGTTCCCCGATGGCGATGGTGTCTTCCAAGACGACAAAGCCCCTGTTCACACAGCTCACATTGTCCAGGACTGGTTTTCTGAGCACGAGGATGAATTGTCCCATCTGCCCTGGCCACCAAAGTCACCAGACCTGAATATTATCGAACCTTTGTGGTCTACATTGGAACGGAAAGTGCGTTCTCGTTATCCACCACCAACATCGTTATCTGAACTTGCTACCGTTTTGCAGGAAGAATTGTATAATATTCCCTTGGCAAACATACAGAAACTGTATTTATCCATTCTGAGAAGACTGCAAGCTGTTTTGGATGCCAACGGGTTTCCTACACCATATTAAGCAAAGAAACATGTTTTTCTAAAGGTGTTTCCATATTTTTGTCCAACCCCTGTATGTTATCTTTTTATACATATGTTATGGTTCATATTCATAAGGGGAAAGCAATAAAAATTATCACTATTATTAACTTTTCACTATTTATAGGTCACCCACGGGTTTGTTTGATTTATGGCAAAACACTGGTGGACTATCTGCCTAAGGGAATGGATGCCTTTTTGGAGGACATTTTAAAGGAAAATGGCTCGCATACACATCACATATGGGGAAAACCACGAAAATGACCATACAGCCAGCCCATTTCCCGGATTTGGACCCTTTACCGAATTAAACTAAACTAATCTCAGTGGCGCTACGGCCTGCAGTGCCCCGAAATCTGCTTTCTTGACCTTGGGCCCCGGTGTGCATCAGCGTATACCCTGGGCAAGTGGCCAGCTTGTCGCAGGATCCCTGGTGTTTAGTCCCCAATAGAACTTGGTACTCATTTTATTAACCCACTGAAGGTATGAACGGCTGAGCCAACCTTGCCCAGCCCGGGGATCTAACCCCGGACCTGTGGTGGTGCAGCTGCGCGACGAGCTACACACATCGCCACCGGGCGGTTAGACTGAACTACTAGTATTAATCTGTTAACTGATGCTGGGAAGATTATTTCAGTGGGTATGACGAAATGTTTCGTCATGCTGGGAAGATTATTTCAATGGGTATGACGAAATGTTTCGTCATGCTGGGAAGATTATTTCAATGGGTATGACGAAATGTTTCGTCATGCTGAGAAGACTATTTCAATGGGCATGACGACATTTTTCGTCATGCTGGGAAGACTATTTCAATGGGCATGACGAAATTTTTCTTACATTTTTTTGCAATCTGTCACTTGACCGTTGTTCAAGAAAAATCGATCAATGGAAACACTTGTCCGCTCATAAATTGTGATAACACTCCTAATTTTCACAACTTAATTTCATTTTACTCTGCATTTCAGTATTTTACATATTAGTAATAACTTGTTGATTTGAGTAATTGTTTATAAATATGGCTAAAAATTATTGTGAAGCAGAAAATATTTTTGAATTGTCTGAAAGTGACGATGAAATATTGCCCGGGAGGTTTGGTAAACGACGTCGAATTCTAAGAATAAGTACCAGTTCGGAAGAAAGCGATAAACGACTTCTTTACTGATGGTCCGGACATTGAATCAAAGGATGATGATGTTATAGACCAAAATACTCAACCGACATCAGCTGAATGGAAATGTGAAAGAATATTGCGATCGCCTTTCCCGTTTTTTATCTCAATCTAGACTTACATTTGAAGGACCTGAAGAAAAGGACTGCCTTTTTTATTTTGAGAAATTTATTGATGAGAATTTTGTAGAATTATTGTGGAACTTATTGTGGAACAACCAAACAAATACGCCGGACAGTTTTTTTGAAAAAAATACTTCCATGAAACCGCGTTCAAGATGTCTCTCGTGGGTTGACACAGATGACCGAGAGATGAGAGTATTTATTTTTTTACTAATTTTTGTTAAGAATAATAGGAAAAATTTTCTTATCAGCTTTATTTCACAAAGCGAGAAAGTCTGGAGACTCCATTTTTTTATAAAATTATGTCAGAAAAAAGATTCCAACTGTTAGTAAAATTTTTACATTTTAGTGATAACAATGCTTTCGATCTAAAAGTGTGCAACAAAAAAACCTACAAAATCGATTCCATTTTGAACTATTTGAGAAACAAATTCAAGGTGTTATACGTACCAGATAAGGAAATATCTGTAGATGAGTCTCTTTTGCTATGGAAAGGAAGACTGTCTTGGAAACAGTACATTCCATCGAAAAGAAGTCGATTTGGTGTTAAATTGTATAAGATATGTGAAAGTAAATCCGGATACATAAGTGATTTCATTATATATACAGGTAAAGACACGCAGTATGGTTCGAACTATCCAGAAGAACAGGGACCAAATCGTATTGTTCTTGAATTGTGCCACGATTTGTTGGATAAGGGATATACGCTATATCTCGATAATTGGTATACTAGTACTGATCTAGCTGAGAAGATGTGCAGAAGAAAAACCGATGTTGTAGGAACAATGCGAAAAAATAGAAAGGGAATACCATCTGATATCAAAAATTGTGTTTTGAAAAAAGATGAACATATTGCTAGGTACAGAGACAAAATAATGATTATGAAGTGGAAAGACAAAAAGGATGTAATTATATTGAGTACTATCCACGACAATAAATTTGTAGAAATAGAAAACGAAGGAAAACGATATGAAAACCGGAAGTTATCGCTGACTACAACAAAAGTATGGGAGGAGTTGATCTTGCTGACGGACAAATGAAAACTTTTTGTTTTATACAAGAAAGATGGCGGTCACCTAGATAGGCTTCATTTCCTTATCGAAACTGTAGAAAAGGTGTTGAAAAATATAGAGACGGATCGCAGTTGCCATCTACTAGTACAGGACGATCATCTTTGACACCAAAACCATCTCGGCTCTTTGAAAGACATTTTGCAGACTATATACCATCCCACTCTTCAAGAGTAAATGCAACGAGGAGATGCAAATTATGCTATTCCAAAGGTCTTAGGAAAGAATCGAGATTTTGGTGTCCCGACTGCAGTGTTGCTTTGTGTATGCCGCATTGCTTTAGGGAATATCATACGAAATAATTGTTTAAATTCGTTCAATTAATTTGTTTTTTTTTTCCGGATTAAAAATGTTTAATTTTAATATTTAATATCATTAAATTTTAAAGTAAATTACATAAGTGATTTCATTATATATACAGGTAAAGACACGCAGTATGGTTCGAACTATCCAGAAGAACAGGGACCAAATCGTATTGTTCTTGAATTGTGCCACGATTTGTTGGATAAGGGATATACGCTATATCTCGATAATTGGTATACTAATACTGATCTAGCTAAGAAGATGTGCAGAAGAATCTTTGTTTATTCCTTGCGATGTGCTGAAATTACTGCAAAGGAAAAAATCCCCATTGTGAAACGATTTTGTTGAAAGCTTATTCCCCAGTTAACAGGTTAATCAATTTTACCACTCGGCCGCTGGTGGGCCTTATTTTAAACCTTGTGCAATTCTATCTGGATTGGACTAACGTAATAAATTAGCTATCAATGCTTTAAAAAAATTGACAAAATTTTACCTGAGATAATCATTAATATATTCAGCCAAATAATATCTCATAAAATAGTGAAAGCTTAATAAGGAGAATGTCAAATTTAGGCTGAAATCCTCAATATGATTAAAATATAGATATAAGCGTTTTGTAAGAAATTGTTATAGGTGTAAACAAGTATACCATATTTTAAGCAGAAAAAAGTTTTTGAAATCTTAATGCAGATTATAAAATTCGTATAAACGAGTATCCTGTCTACATATTGATATGCTAATGACTTCTGAATTTTCTAAACAATAGCTTTAATAAATGATCAAATAACTGGGCACAGTGTTTTGGAAAGTCAGTTTCTTCATTATTTCAGTTTATGGAAAAAATCTGATGTGTACACTATATGACTTCATTGTACGAGGTATTAAATTATACACATTTTCTGCTGTTTTCCATTTACACTTATTTCCTCGAATTTCACTAGAGACATATTTCTCATTCAATTAACTCAGTTCTCACTTCGAGGCAAGGGAAAACTACATAAAAACTCAAAACATCTTCATTAAAAATTGTAAAATACAGAAAAGCGTAAATCACCAAATACAATTAAAAAAGAAATGTTTGCGATTAAATTAGAGTTTATACACAAAAACAAGCAATTCGGCCAGTGGGCAGGCAGACAGAGGTTTCGATGTAAAAAAAAACTGAGAGTCTACTCTGTTAAAAGATATGGAAGCTAGCCCACAAACTGACTTCACTCATTATTTTACTAAGAGTTACAATTGAAAACAAATGCCAGCCCCGTTGGCCTTAGTATCACTTATGAAACTTTTAAATTGTTAATAATTTTACAACTGCTGCATGCAGACTAACTAAAGGTGTAAAATCCTTAGCCGGGAAATAAGAACAACTTAATTCAATCACTTTTAAAGCAAACGTACACAATTTACCAAGATATGAGAATAAAAATACTGAACTCACCGATCCAAGAAACGGTGTTGTAATATGCATATACGTTTGGTGCCGTCGATTACAACAAAAAATATGCAAAAGATTAAAGTTCTGCGGATACTCGTTTTTGAGTTACGCTAGATGTATGCATGTTACGGAAAAATCTCTTGTGAATCGATTTTAAATTCTTTTATAGTCCGTTTTGGAAAAAAACAAAGAGTCCTTTATTCTGTCCAAAAAGTACAGTTGTCAAGCAAAAAACATCCTTTAAGTGAATCCGATAGCGGTCAAAATGGATAGTTTCGTTGAAATGTGATATCCGAAATTTTTTACGATTGAAATACTTCCTTTACTTCGTACAAGGAAGTAAAAGCTCAAATAAAAGTCTTAAAAATTTATCTAAGGATTTAAAAAAAATCATTCTGTTTCTGACATTGGTCGTATAATTTTACCTACGTACATTAATTTTCAAGCCATATAATATATATTAATTAACACTGACAGATTGCTCTTGCAAAGGTCTGCTATTTTCCAATAAAAGCTCTTCTTCGAACAAGCGGAAGAATCCCCAGATACCTCTAAAAATGCTGTCACGAAACATCTAATCTCAAAACTTAAATTAGACTTAACAGATTTCAAGGAGTAAACCCAGAGCAGGTATGTATTTCTGAATTTCAGATTTAATCTTGCTATAGCGAAAAAATAAAATAGTAGTACTTATTACAGTTTCATCCAACTTACGCAAGTCGCATGATTCTAATATTAGATCATAACTTAATATACTTATTTCTATAAAATTCTCATTTTAAGGTAAGGACTTTAAGATGTTTTTTCCCACTTTTCCGCGTGGCTTTATGGTGTAATTGGAAATATACACTCGACGTGTACTCGCGAAGTCAAGGGTTAGAGTCCCAGCGAAGACATTGCACATTTCTCCCGTCTCCTGCTTCATAAAATTCTAATGACTCAATAGCACTGTTAACGTAGGTGTACACACTAAATCTTTAGAAAAGCTAGATATACAAGCGGCAAAAAATATAAATGTATGCATATAAATGACTTAGAAAATATATCTTGCATTTCGAAGAATATATTCATATTTCCTAAGCATCTTATGATAAAAAATACCTTTGGGGATCAGAAGTTTATTTTCCAAGGATTATCTACTTGAGTTTTATTGCATATAGAGAGTAGCTGTGAAAAACTAAACAAATAAGAAAATTTTTTTGAGAATAGCTAAACGAAATATCGAATAATACTTTACTAACAATTTATTGACCCTATTTTCGAATAACACGGGGAAAAATATAGTAGGGACGGAGTATGGTTAAGTTACAAAAACTGTATTTTGCAGTGCGGTAATAAAAACTGGCAAAAGTAGCATAAATCGACAAGTGCTATCCCATCGTAAATCACTATAGAGTTAGCTGAGCATTTTTGGAGTTCTCTTACCTGAGAATCTTTTAAACTATTAGAGGTATATAAATTTCGTAAATTTTGACTTCTTTTCACAATGCTATTTAATGGTTTCACTTTAGAAGAATTAAGCTCTTTCAATATCCCATGTTTCATTAAAAATTTGGCTAAGAAATGTTATATAGAATAGGTAAACAAAATGTTAACTTCTCTTGTATTTTGGAAGCGTTTGGAATTGCCAAAACTTCTATTCAAAAAGTTGATAGCGATAATAAGCACATCATTCAACAGGAATTATGAACTCCGAAATGCTATTTAAAATTAAACCCGTTTCGCGATTAATTCACAAAGCCTTTGTTAACTAGTTATAGATATTCGCTTAAAATTAAACCCGCGAAAGCTCATGATCAATTAATTATTTTCACATCCTAACTAAATATACAAGTGTTCTTTTCATGCAGATTTAAGCTCGCCAATATGCAGATAAATACTGAAAGTTATAAAACTGCGATACAGCTCTTGCAAGTATCTTATCATTTTTCAGATTACGAAACTCAGAAAAAATAAGCAAATTGCATTACAGTTGCTTCAGAAGAAAACTGGATATAATTTAAAACTGCATACTAATACTTTATTAGGTATTTCCCCAAACTTCGTAGCATGCCTTCGTGGTGTAGTGGTCAGCACGCTCGGCGCGTATTCGAGAGGTCCGTGGTTCGAGTTCGGATGAGGGCATTGCTCATTCTTCACTTTCCTTCTTCAGATATAACCTAATGTTTCTACGACTTCAAAAAAATATCTTTCATCCTTTAAAAGTTTTAAAATTCCTGTGCTATCTAAGGAATTATTACAAATATCAAATCAATCTGCAATATACTACAGGCCATGCAAATTTCAACACGTAGATGGACAAGATATATCAAAGCCAAATTCACTTCAGAGATTACATAAAGTATCAATGCTAATTTATTTGAAATGCAGCATTCTTCCAGGTGAGGAAGACAAGAAAATCAATAACGAGTGTTACCACCGATTATGTTAATGAGTCATTGGTAAACACCAATAAACAGCTGTTTCGCTGAGTAAAAGAAGCTTTGGTTTTATACTATTAACCGCCAAGACGGTATAGTGGTTAGGAAAGCCTACTGCGATATTAAAGGGCCCGGTTTCGAATCCTGGAAAAGGCATGGATGTTTGTAAATGTATAGTGTCTTTGTGTTATGGGTACAGACCAAGTATGGTGATAATACTTAGTCTGTACCCATAACACAAAGACACTATACATTTACAAACCACCGATATGGTGACAATACGACCAGCCAACGACAGCAGCTCTTCCAGCCAACTACAAGTGCAGTCTTGCTCTCTCTGCCACGATGAATCACTTTGGCTTTTGTGATGGTACTCTCAGACAAGTGAGTTAAGTCACAACATAACACAACAGCTTTTAATGAGTTATAGGCGAATGGCAACTCATGCTGTCAAAGTTTATCTTGTGTATCTGTAAAGGCATGCGTAGGTTAGTATTACAATATGGTAAACTAAAAAGAAATCTTAAACGCTGCGTGCAATGTGTGGTCACGCATTGTCCTGTTGAAATGCGGCAACAACTAAACCCTGGAGGTTGACGGAGAAGAGGCTGCATAGGCTGGTAAGTGTACCGATAATGCGTACTAGGAGGTATGGAACTTGAATCCAATACCAACTCATACCATAACACTTGACGCATAATAGAACAGTTGAGAAGCCTCTCTCCACAGTGTCTCCAAAATCTAATCCGACCATTGCAGTACTGCAGGTAAAAACTGGAATCCTCCGAAAACACAAAGTCATGAAATTTTCA